GGGAGATAAGAGCTCAGGGAGTTCTTAAGCTATCCTGGACCCAACTTGCACAGGGCTTTATAAATTAAGAGCCTCACATAAGGAGCACTGTGGAATTTTGAGATTTCAAAACCGGTCTTCGGAAAACCAACAGCAAGTTCCATTGTTCTTGGTTGGGGGCGGGAGCGGGGCAAGCAGTTTTGCTAAGCACAGTTCTGGATATAACCAAACCGCATCCTCTCATTTCAAGGTTGTATCATTTCAAACTGAGAGGAAGGGGAACAGATGCTGAATGCTTCTCAGCCCAGACATGGGTTTAAGGAAACATGACCGGTTTTTCGAACTGGGCACAGAACCTTGCGAGCGCCACAACTATGATGTAGAATGGAAGGGAAGAGGTGGGGGAGGGGCACACAGAATTTTGGCATCACACAGAGTGCTGCTGAAATTTGAGGTGCCAAGGTCTGCCACTACTCAGCCCCACGAAGAGCTCCATGCGCATGGATTGAGTCAGGGAGAAAGTTGCTGGCTAGACTTTCTCCTTGCCCATTAGTTTCCTATGGTTAAAAAATTATTATGATGAGTCAGTGAAACCTTCAGCATCAAATGCTTCCACTGAAATGGTAGTTTTCCTCCCTGTCTTACTGTTATTGGGGCTACCCAGCGAAGGAGGGAGCATTCCTGATATCCCCTGGGCATCAGCCAAAGGCCTCTCAGCCCCCTATGGAGCGTATCCTTCCCCCTGTGGTTTGGACTGTACAAGTATATAGACTAGTGGACACTCAGGAACTGTGCACATTGAAAACAATGCCTACATTCATCATAGCACTGCAGCTTTACTGGAGGTGAGTGTACCTGGATGCAAAAGCTACGCTTCTATTAAGATATGCATGTGTTCTCCTTCTGGGAAGCTCTCTAGATGATGGTTCAATACCTAAACAACGCTGGAGGTCAGGTTCTCCTAACAATATCTCTTCCTGAATTCCAGTTGCTGGGAGCTGCAGGAGAGAAGAGTACTGTTACTTCTGGCCTCCCCATAGCATACTCTCCAAGTTTTAGGTAGTGAGACTATCATTTAAATGCAAGACCTGTAGGCATTTCCACACGTAGAGGGAATGTGTGTAGAGCAGAGGCCGAGACAAAGACAGACAAAATGCAGTGAGCCTGACAATTATTATTTTCTTCCTTCCTTTGAATGACTGATTTCCTTTTCTTCTTGTTAGGAGCTGCAGGGCTCAGACTGCAAACCTTAGTGTATATGTGTTGCTGTCCCATGTAGTGAGCCACTGAATTGCATGTTGCAACTGCTGCCTAGATAATTTAATATCCTCAAACCTTGGACTGAGCTTGCCCAGCCAGGCTGGGTGAAGAAGGAGAAGGCAGTCTGTTTCAGTTAAGAATTGTTCAAGGTCTGGGCATGTTGTTGCATCCTTTGGTTATCCTGTGATCCTGTCTTGCCCTTCGATTCTGATTGCTCGCTTTGTTCCTTGCCTCCTGTGCTATCAGATGGACACTGCCAACCAAACTGTGACGGTCTTTGTCCTGGGGGTGCTGCCAAACACAGCCGAACTCCCCCTTCTCTTCTTCTTCATCTTCTTGGCCATCTACACGTTGACTGTGCTGGGGAACCTCCTCATCCTGATCACCATCTTGGTTGAACCTCAGCTCCATAGTCTCCCCATGTACTTCTTCCTCTGTCACCTCTCTGTCATAGAAACCTGTCTCTCCTCTGTCACAGTGCCCAAAGTCTTGGCGGGCTTCCTAAGGTCCAGCTACAGAACCATCTCCTTTGGAGGCTGCATCATCCAGCTCTATTCATACCACTTTTTGGCGAGCGCTGAGTGCTTCCTTTTCACTGTCATGGCTTATGACCGCTACCTTGCCATCTGCCGCCCACTGAACTACAGTACACTCATGAACAGGAGGGTCTGCTCTGGTCTCACAGCTGGGACCTGGCTCACTGGTTCCTTTCATGCCGCTATCCATACCAGCCTGACGTTCCGTCTGCCCTACTGTGGTCCCAACCAAGTGGACTACTTCTTCTGTGACATACCACCAGTGCTCAAGCTAGCCTGTGCCGACACAGCTGTGAATCATGTCGTCACACTGGCCAACATTGGCGCTGTGGCTGCCGGCTGCTTTGTGCTCATATGTATCTCCTATGCCTACATAGCATCCGCCATTTTGAAAATCCGAACAACAGAGGGAAGGCGCCGGGCCTTCTCCACTTGCAGTGCTCACCTTACAGTGGTGCTGCTACAGTATGCACCTCCAGTCTTTATATATTTACGTCCATCTTCAAGTGCCTCCACCTATGGGGCACTGGCTGTGTTCCAAACCATGATCACTCCCATGTTGAACCCATTCATATACACACTGAGGAATAAGGAAGTGGAAAGGGCATTGAGGAAATTGTTCGACAGGCATGCCGCTTCTCAGGAACGATAGTTTGGGAGATCAGATTCCACAGGGCGAATAAGCTCTGCACAGGTTTAGGAGCACAGCAGCGTTGAGTCTGCAGAAACATGTTCCCACTGTCAGAACTGCAAGATGTCCCCACTGTTGGAGCTACAAGGCCAGTTACACCTGAGCTCGAGATAAGGGAGGGTCAGAAAGTAACTTTTCTGTAGCCAGGTAGACAAATACCTGACTTAAGCATGCATTCCTAGCTATAAGTGACGCAGGAAATCATGCAATTGTGTGCTTGCTACAATTGTATAAATGCTTTGTGCTTTGTGTGCTCTACACTCAGTCTTTTGGAGATATCTTGCCAAGACTCACTGCTACAGCCTTGAGTAAACTCTTTTTACCTTTCCACCTGCGATTTCTTTATTGGCTTGGGAGGGACAGTGTTCTGGACTTGGTTCCAATAACAGGGCCACAGCCCTTTTTGTGCAACCTTGTTTGGGACACACATAAATGGGAGGCATGACCAGAGGCAGAAATCAGCAGACAGACAAATCATAGGTGGCCCAACTGTCATATAATTGTTATAAGGAAAACTGCTCCCTTTCCCTTATGGGGTATTCCAGAGCCCGTATAGAGTCCTTAAGTGAGTTCCCTATTGGTAGGAGAAAATAGCAGAGGCCAACCAGAGAATATTGAGAAGCAAAGCGGCTAGTAAGCCTGATATTTATTCAAAGAACTGTTGCAACAGGGTCCCCACTCACCCCACGCAGGAGGGAGGAGAACCCTGAACAATGGTGCACAAGCCCTTATATAGACTTTTGAAATTGCTCACCCTATAGCCCAAAACCACCATCCCCCCAAAAATCATACATACATCACAGAATGAGGCAGTCTACAGCAGAAATTCTGCCTGCCAGGATACCTGATAATGGTCACTGATTTAATTACCTGGGCAGTCTGGCCATTCTTTTGTGATGGTTAATACTTATTCATACACAAATATGCCCTTAAGACAGGATTTGCAAGCAAAAAGACAATTTGAAGCCCAGATATAAGGCTGCCTTCACATGGAAGTTTATTCCTATTCCACTCACCAAACTACGATGGCTGCAATAGTTTTAAAATAAATTCCTCTTCACAGGGAACCGTGAGAATTGTTTTTGTGAGGGTAGCAGGCATCTGTTAACAGCTCTTAACAAATTACAGCTCCCAGAATTCTTTGGGGGAAGCCATGACTAGTGTAAGTGGTATGTGCTATGTTTACAGTCGTACCTTGGCTCCTGAACAAATCGCCTCCCGGACAATCAAAACCTGGAAGTGAGTGTTCCGGTTTTTGAACGATTTTTGGAAGCCAAACGTCTGGCATGGCTTTAAATGTAGAGTGCAGATGGGACCCCACTCACTGGTGTCACGTGACTGTGACGGGAGCATCCAGGTTCTGGCAAGATCTCACAAGAGGCCTGTGAGGATCATAGATTTGTGGGGTTGGAAGGGACCCCAAAGCTAATCCTGTCCCAACTCTCTTAGATTCAGAAATCCTGCCTATAGCCATCCCTGGGTGCCTCATGGATGGGTTGACCCTGCCTTTTTCAGACAGGTAGCACTGGCCACAAACTTAAATGGCTTTAAAGGAGAATTAGACAAATTCATGGAGGATCAATGGCTCCTAACCACAATGGTCTACTCCATACAGGGCAAATATCTCTCCTCCCCCCCGTTTCCCAGAGTTGTTGACCCTTTCTTAAGGGGGGCACTTCTGTCTGGCTTGTTTACATCGTGTGGTCCGACACATGCTCGGCGCTGCACGTAAGAGGCGCTGGGATTGCAACCCAGATGGCCTCCCATGAAGCCTCCCTCTAAGAGCCTGGTGCCCCTTACTTGCCCCCGTCCGGGGCAGTCTGTGCCACAGGAGGGCTAGCAAGCAGATCAGGTGGCTTGCCAGCTGTGCCATCCTCGTTCGGCACCAGGATCACACAGGGCACTTCCCCGCTCCGCTCGCAGACTCCACAGGGAGGCATGCAGGCAGCGACGTGGCCAGAGAGGGGCACCCCGTGCCCACCCCTGATTGCACCCATCAGGCACCCAGGCAGCCCCAGTGGGAGGGGGCGCCAGGAAGTGCCCTGAGAGGAGAGGAGCAGGCTGCCCCAGAGTGGAGAAGGGAGTGTGCCCTGACTCTCCTTCCCGGACACTCAGCCTGTGGCACCCTCCAAAATCTGGCACCCCGGCGCCCCGCGCCAGTAATGTCTATGGGTAAGAGGCCCCTGACTCCATTGTCAGATGCCCTTGATTGGCAGTTGCAGAGAATCAAAGCTGGCAAGAGTGGTATTGTGCTCAGTTTTTGCTTGCAGGCTTCCCATAGTCATTTGGTTGGCTTGCTGAGAGAAGATGTTGCTAGACTAGTTGATTGGCTTAATCCACCAGTGTTTTTCCAGTGCTCTTATCCTGGAATATTTCTACTTCCTGTTTCCTCACTAGTTTTAGCCCTTAAGCGTGCCAGCACATGGGAACACGTGATGCTGCCGTACACTGAGTCAGACCACTGGTTCACCTCGCTCAGTATCTTCTCTGGCAGAGACTTTCCAGAGTTTGAGGGGGGGGGGGACCTCTCCCAGCCCTTCCCACAGGGGATCGAACCTGTGACCTCCTGCATACAAGGCAGAGGCCCTACCACTGAGCTACTGAGCCAACAGCACTTCCAAGAGAAGCAAAGGCATTTGTTTTTCATTCCCCAGCATGCCTCACTAGTCCATTTGCTTCGGAAATGTTACACGATACCCTTTCCCCTGTCCTCAGCATCTGCTCAGCATTTGCTCATTTCATTGGAGAGCAAAACCCACAGGGGGGAGGAATTCCGTGTGGTTGCCTTGCTAATGAAGTCAATCGTGTGACCTCCCCGATTGGTGTAATCGGAACATTAAACCCACTGCTTGCTTGCAAAGAGTGCGTGAAGCACAGGAACCACACAGCTGCCGCTCGAATATACCTATTGTTACCTGTTAACACTGTAATTGGCCTGGAGGGAACGGCAGGAGTTCAAACTGCTTGATTTGACTTTGGCTCGCCTCCATTTCGGCTGTGCCATAAATTGCACGGGGCATTGAATTCTCTCCTTAAGCTTTCAAACACTGGTGCCGTTCCCAAGGCCTTGCCTAACTAGACACCGGGGAGGGCTCTAATTACATGCGCTGTTTAATTAGACAGGGGGGATTGCATGACCCAAAAGCCATTAGCACCAAATGAGACAATTAAGGATTCAGCGAAGTTCAGAGCTGGGAAATCCCCGTGGGTGCCTCTAATGAGCTCAGTGGAGGATCAGAGGTTAACATGGAAACACTTTCCCTTAGCAACTGCAGAAATACAAGCTGAAATTGGACGGTTGTCAAATAAATCTTCTTTATCAATGTTCCTAATGTCAGACACTTGAATACTTAGTAAACATTAGCTTTGAGCCATAACTGGATCACAGAAAATAAATATTGTAGTCTCTCTCTCTCTCTGAGTTGCTCCAATACAAATGATGCTGTTTCCAAAATAGTATGCACTGAACTTTTGGAACGGAAAGCTCAGAAGTCCTTCAATCCACTGAGCTGAAGAAATGCTGATACTATCCTCCAGGTTGAAGCCGTGTGGTGTTAATATGTCTAGCCTGTTAATCCAGATGTTCTCCCTCTTTGCTGGCATCTCTATAGCAATTATTGATAAGTCCGACAGACTACAGTTCTCAGAATTAAAGTGTTTAGCAACAAGTTGCTCCATTATTATTATTTTGGTCACAATTGCTGATCTGCTGTTTCTAAAACTTGTGTGTAGGTCGATTGCAGTTTTGCCTACATGCTGTATATGTTGTTTTTGTGCCAGGGTTGTGCACGAACATCTGACGTTGACCTGCCCGCTGGTGTGCATGCCTGATTTCAGCGGGTGCACTGATGTGATGTGCATGCACTGGCGGGCATGTTGATGTTGGATGTGCATGCCCCCATGCTGTGTGCAGCCCTGGCACAAAAATTTGTGGGTACTCGGCCCTTTCATGGCAAATGTTGTGGAGGCTGGAGCCCCGAGAGCTCCAGGCACCCTACACCTGTGCCCACCCATTTTCTGTCAGGCAGAGCCACTCCTTTTTTTTATCTTGGTGACCCATAAAGGTAAAGGTAAAGGGACCCCTGACCATTAGGTCCAGTCATGGCAGACTCTGGGGTTGCAGCGCTCATCTCGCTATTGGCCAAGGGAGCCGGCGTACAGCTTCCAGGTCATGTGGCCAGCATGACTAAGCCGCTTCTGGCGAACCAGATCAGCGCACGGAAACGCCGTTTACCTTCCTGCTGGAGCGGTACCTATTTATCTACTTGCACTTTGAACTGATAGGTTGGCAGGAGCAGGAACCGAGCAACAGGAGCTCACCCCATCGTGGGGATTCGAACCACTGACCTTCTGATCGGCAAGTCCTAGGCTCAGTGGTTTAACCCACAGTGCCACCCGCGTCCCTTGGTGACCCGTACTTGGGGGCTATTACTTCACCAGGAAGCTAGCCTGGCTATTCCAGGAATTGTCTCCATGCTGGATCCAGGAATAAAAAGGGGGCTCAGGCATGCAGACCTCATAACGATATAAATTATATTGCAGGACCTGCAGGCAATGTCCTGTTTTACGTAATACAGTCATACCTCATGTTGCATCTGTTTCATGTTGCGTCTTTTCGCGTCCTGTCCCGTGGCAACCCGGAAATACCGGAATGGGTTACTTCTGGGTTTCGCCACTCACACATGCTCAGAAGCGCCAAATTGCGCTTTGCGCCTGCACAGACACTGCACTTTGAGTTGTGGGAATTTCACATTACAGACGGGCCTCCAGAACGGATCCCATCTGTAACACGAGGTACCACTGTATGGTACCAACATTTCTGCAATGTAAAGTTTATGTAATAAATTATCATAACCTCCAACATTTCTCCAATGGAAATAGGGACATCCTATTCCATACCCTGGTACTGCTCCAGTGGGAAGGTAAACAGCGTTTCCGTGCGCTGCTCTGATTCGCCAGAAGCAGCTTAGTCATGCTGGCCACATGACCCGGAAGCTGTACGCCGGCTCCCTCGGCCAATAAAGCGAGAAGAGCGCCGCAACCCCAGAGTCCTCTGCAACTGGACCTAATGGTCAGGGGTCCCTTTACCTTTACCTATTCCATACCCTACAACATTTATCTGAAGAAAATAGGGACATCCTACCATACCCTCCAACATTTCTTCCTATGTACACACACACACACGCACAGAGCTTAAATGGAGGGGAAATAAAAGAATAAATTTGCATTCATTTTGTAAGAAGTTTTAGATGATTTCCCAATTTTAATTGAGTAGCTAGTAAAGTAGTTTTGGTGTTACTTCTTCGTGTTCCTTTTATTGTAAAGCACCTTGGAAAGTTCTATCAACCTGAAACGCTGCATGGAAGACATTTTAATAAATAAACTAGGAAAGTAAATAAGCAAATAAATAAATAACAGTGTAGTCCTATACATAACTACTCAGACGTAAAGCTTATTGAACCCAATAAGCTTTACGTCTGAGTAGTTATGTATAGGGCTGCATTGTTATTTATTCCCAGTGAGTAGGGACTTATTCCCAGCGAGTAGAGGATTGCAGCCTCAGTCCTTGACATCAAATAAGCAGCACACCAAATCTACTACAAAGAAGGTAAAATCTGTTATATAACTATGTTAATAATAGTGAAAGCACACATTTGGGGAACGTGTGCATACAATACATTTAACGTATGTATAATTATGTTAGAAGAAACAGCTTGCAAAAATGTGTATCTTGGGCAAAATCGCACACAGAAATGCACTAAAATGCTGACAAGTTTTTCATGAAGACTTTAAAAAATGAAAAGAAATCGGAATAATTCACACAGGCAAATGTGGAAAGACTGGAAAAATGAGAAACGGAGAGAAAGTGAAACTAATAGATTCTTCCGATCTCTGGTCTGAGATCAAATGCTATAGCAGCTCTTCGCTGGTTTTTATTTTGGCTCTCTGCTGCCACCTACTGGTCTCATTGACTTCTAGCGCGGCAGATTGCATTGATTCCAACTCTAGAGAAGTCAAGAGTTCCCCAAGCCACAAGCAGCGGGGTCAGTGGGTGGCCACTGGCAGTGGGATGCGGGGGGAGGACAGGCACCCACAGGATAAAAATTATGGATGCCTGGGCCCCTGAGGACCCCTGGAGTTGATGCTCCTGCCCACAAGGGACATTAGCATTTTCTTCTAGAAAAAAAAATGCTGTTACTCACTATGAAGTTGTTATATTAAGTGCCACACTTTCAACCAGTGCTTTTCATCTAGAAAAAAAGGGAGCTGGTACTGCAGACCCTTGAGTAACGGTAAAGGACCCCTGGACGGTTAAGTCCAGTCCAAGGCGACTATGGGGTTGCAGTGTTCATCTTTCTTTCAGGCCGAGATAGCCGGCGTTTGTCCACAGACAGCTTTCCCGGTCATGTGGCCAGCAGGACTAAGACGCTTCTGGCACAATGGGACACCGTGACAGAAGCCAGAGTGCACGGAAACGCCGTTTACCTTCCTGCAGCAGTGGTACCTATTTATCTACTTGCACTGGCATGCTTTTGAACTGCAAGGTTGGCAGGAGCTGGGACAGAGCAATGGGAGCTCACCCCTCGTTGCGGGGATTCGAATCGCTGACCTTCTGACTGGCAAGCCCAAGAGGCTCAGTGGTTTAGACCACAGCACCACTCATGTCCCCTTATACCCTTGAGTACCCCCTGAAAAAAAAGCGCTGGGCACTAGTTCTGTCAAGTTGTGAAGAATGTTCTGATAGAGATCTGTCTCTGCCCCCTAACCGAGGGTTTGAGACCCATCAGCTCCCCTCGCCTGATTTAGCCTGCCAGTCGAAGCCAATCCCAGGGTGTGGCTGCTGCCACTTCTAGGAGCCACAGGTGACAGCTGAGTGCAGGGTGAGGACCAAAGATGGACAAACTACCTCAGAAGGAGAACGGTGTGTCCCCTACCACCCAGTTAGCTAATTACTGGAAACCCCCTATTTTCTAAAGCCAAGCCACGGACCCCCCACTTTTAACTTTTTTGATAACTCTATGGTAGTTACCTGTGCCGAGCAAGTTTTGGAAGAAAAAGTGGGGTGTCCCCGAATAAGCAAAGGGTTTTAGGTATACTGAAAAGAAAAGAAAACAGACCCTAAAATTTGTGAAATTACCACAAATTGCCTTTCCCCAGACAGCAGGAAAAACTCCACAACAATAAATAGCAAAATTAAAAAAGCAGTTGTGTCCCTAACTTGCAATTGCTCTATATGCAGAAGGCTTTTTATATGAGAGAGTATTCAAACATGCTATTCCTTACTTCTAATCTGAGATTGTATCATTTAGCAAATCTTTGCAGCACATGGTTCTGCTAACTGACAAATCTTGCACCTTCAAGACATAGGTAAAGGCTTGGTCAGGGCTTGATAAAGTCTTGGTGAAGACTGAGTGGAAAACAGCTGGAATTTTGTAGTGTTGGTAATAGTAGTAGTAGCAGTATTACTAGTAGAATTTTATTATTATTTAATTACTGTGCCCCAGTTTCATTCCTGGTTTAAAGAGATTAATTAGTTAAATACAGTACTTATTTGGAGTGAGGTTTTTATTCTTGCTAATTACCCAACAGGAACAACCAACTT